AGCGCTATTAAGAAATTGAAAAATTTTGATTTCTACCGAAATAATAACCACCTCCTTAAGAATATTTTTGAACTTTATTTCCAAGCGCGCAAGCAAGAAAAAAATGTTATCATAGCTTGGATAAAAGCGCATGCAGGAATTGAAGGTAACGAAATTGCTTACCTTCGTGCTAAAGAGGCAGCAAACAGTAGAGATATTAGTCTTAGCTATCATATTCCTAAAAGAGATGTCATGGTGTGTATTAAAGCACACATATTAGAGGTATGGAATGCACAGTACAGGATGGGAACAAAAGGGCAATACTACAAACAATTAGAACCAGTACCAATTATTGACACATACTTCTTCGCTTTACACAAGATATTGCTTCTTGTTAATAAAATATTGAAGACGACTTTTGAATTTCTATCATAAATGTTGCCGCCATACTTAATACGATGATAATGAACACCTCCCCAGAATTTCTTGTGGGAATGCTGCTTCGAAAACAATTTCCTTCTTCATTCAAAACTAACGTGCATTCTCATTTTCATCAATCGTTGCATTACCATTTATACGAGTCTCATTCGCATTCCCTGGTAAAGCACTTTGCAGCAAACTAGTTGCAAATCTAAGATCTACAATAAAGAAAATTGTGTTAAAGCAGAATTTTCCTTAACAAATAATTTTTAACATTCAGGAATCAGCATAATATACTTACCAGTTTGTGGATGTAGAACATCCATAGTGTAATGTCCACCACAAGGTTACGTTCTGAAACACGTAATTATATTTTCTCCATAACGAAAACGAAAAATTTGTAACGCATGCGTGTTCGAACAATCAGTGTCTGACAGTTAAATGTCTCTAGAAATGTCTCCTGTCAAGAATGTAAGGTTATAAAAATAGAACGCTCACGCTAACCCAGGCACGATAGGCGAGCGCCGTGGGCTCGTTGCGGTCGTTAGTAATGACGTCATATCTGACGTCGCGATTGCGACCATGACGACAGCAATTTCGATAAATTCATTAATTATCTTTTCTACATGGTTTAAAGGCTTCACAATTTACATGTCATACTTCACCATCAAAGCCAGGGGATTATCAATTGCTTACAATTTTGCAGTAATAAGTCACTTTTATGTAATTATTTTATAATCTTACAATTAAATAAATACAAATTACTTAATTTGCAAATTAACAAGAATCTTCTGTGTCACTGTCTTCCCCTAAATTTATTATAATTGGCAGTATATCTTGCATATCTAACAATTTTTCTCTTTCATACCATTTCATTATTTCACCTTCAGTGTGTTTGATTGAATTTTTCCACATATCTGGTGTCACGACATTAACTGCTTCTTGCCACATATTTAAACAATCAGCCTCTGTTCTCCCATCTCTAGCAATATGTTTATTATAATAAGTTTTTGTTATACCCCATATTAACTCTATACGGTTAAAAATACAATGGTAGGGTGGAAGGCGCAACACTTTATGACCATATTGTTCCGCTAATTGGTCAACAAAATATGTTTTTTCTGGTTTAATTCTGGAAACTAATGACAGACGGTTCACTTAAATTTGGAAGCAATTGATTTTAAAACCAATGTAAGAAATTCGTCTGGTTCATTTCTCCGTGATAATCACCACTTGAAGTTTTATTTTTTTTTATAGGCTATTCGGGATCAAAGCCCATAAGCCACGTGGGGGTATACAAGAGTGTACTAAGGAATCACAGGGCCACACGCTTCACGATTCGGGGCCTATCGAATCGACTTTGAAATCACACAAACGATTAATCAGCTATCGGAAAATGGGTTGTATCGCACAAAGGAAAGGGGGAAAAACGGACTTGAAGTTTTTGATGCAAATATTAAATTTGCACCAGGTATGAATCCTTTCTCATTTCCAGCATGCACAATTATTTGTCTGTAACATATTTTTTGCTATAATTATTGTTACCACTATTAATAATAAACCAACCGCTTTCCATCAGTTTTGATAGTTTTCAACAAATTGGCACAAATCTTTTTCCTTGAAATCTTTGTACTGGCGCAGAAAACAAATTCTTTTACTTGCCACAAGGGGTAGTTCCATTAGACCTCGCCTGGGCTCTTTTTTTCATTTAAATTCAATTTCTTTTAGCACTGTTCTAGGAGATGACAGGCTCGCCTGACGGCTCGCCAGTCAACTTCTCCTATCGCCAGTAAAAACTCACTTACTTGGCTAATAATGTAAAATACTATTATCTGTCTTCTACAAACTCCCACCAATTTTATACTATAAAATTATATTGTACTATAATAGTTATTTATGCATCAAGGGCATTAAGGCGACATTTATGCCAAGGGCGACAGGGCCCCAGGACCTCCGACCCAAGGGATTATGAGTCGCCCGAGGGTTAGATATCGAGTAATGCCTGAAGTGCATACAAAATGATATTTTTTATCGTTCCAAATCATGCATTTCCAATAGAGACAAGTAATGACTATTGTTTGCCCAACATTAAAGTGCTTCTTACGAATCAAGTAGCATCTTTTTTTATTTCTTAATATACAGAGTGACCCAACGAGAAGTATACAGAGGGCTTTTAGGGTGTTAAATTTAGAAATTTAGAAAAATCCTCGAGCACGTAGATTTTGTATTCGAGGGGGACAACTTTTGGAATACAAATTACGAATCCAAGTCTTCGCCCCTCTACGTAGGGAGCTTAATCCCTAAAATTTTAAATGGAATCCTATGGCAAATGGCACATTATTTGAAAGCCAATTTAATCCTGATTACTAATTTGCTTTGCTTTTTAAATTCTATTGATTCGTTTCAGAGAAATCATCATCAACTTTACAAAGAAAGTTCCTGCAAAATGAAAAATGTGTCCGATAGGTATTTTCGCACAATTAGGACGTTGTGCGCGGGTGCGGAAGTAATGACAACCTGGTTATCTTTAAAGCATCATAATAGCTCTTTAATTGCGCAATTTTTCCCTAATTTGACCATCGTCACATCTTGGATAGTTTCGGATGTGTATATCTTGGACACAGTGTATATTGCAAAGGGGTCCGAAAAGGCGCAAACATGTCTGGTTACGGCGCATTTGAGCGCATGGTGAAAGGTACAAGGTAGTGCAAAAAAACATGTTAAAAACGTAACTTTTGAAAACGTGAAGTTAACCCCTACAACCTTTTTGAAAATGTATCATGACTAACAGTGACTGCGCTAGCTCTAATTCAATTGGTGCAATTGAGCGTATAAGCAAATGGCATAGATTCATTTAAATATCTTAACAAATACAAAAATTGGATTGCGCATGCCCCCCCCCCCGCTTTTTGAAAATATGTCATGGCTTAAGCGTAATGGAGTTGGAGCTGAACGGTTAGCGGTGTGTGTTCTGCACAAGGCATAGTTATAGCTCCCTGCCTTTTCCTCAGCGTCCGCGTTATACACGCTATTAACTATCTCCCTTGTTTCATGTTAAGGTTTTTATCTGTTACAGAATAAGGCAGAAAAGCGCCTTTTTAATTAATACGGCCATTACGACCAGAGTTCCAAGGTGACGACTCTTTGATATAACGTTTTATTACATTACATATTGGTTTTCGATATAATCGAATTGTAATTACTATATTTGTTTGAATTGTCATTTATTAATTTTAGCTCCGCGGAAATCTGTTTTGAAATTGATAATTTTTCCGACCACGAGTTGATCCCCTAAAAATTGAGTTGAATTTAAACGTTTACATTTCAGATCTAGTGTACTATTTGCAATAATTTAAGATCGTTTATTAAATTGCTCTCGATTGCTTACGTTCTACATTGCCAATTATTTTTCTTTCTTAGTAAACCAGTTTTTCTAATAAGAACAATGTCGATGTTGACGGTTTCGCAGCAATGAATTAATTGTTTTAACAAATAAAGTTGTGCAACAAAAACGTTAATAAAGACTTGTTCGAGGGTTTCTAATCGCTTGATATGGTGAAAGGAATTGCTATCCCTTTAACTTGTAAAGAAAGCGCTCGGGTGGGTACTTAAGCATACCGTTTACAGGGGAAAGATGTAATGTGCCCCTTAGTAAATTATTAAACTAATTAGTAGACTAATTGCCTCGAAATAGGGGCGCAAATTTCTTCCTTAAAGGCGTGGTCCTAAGACGGACCTAATTACATTTAACCTTGTCGAAATTATGCATTCTAAAAGAAAATCAAAGATGACGCTCTTCGTTGATAAACCAAACCTCCTTAAATAAGAGGGCTGATTATAGATAAATGCAACAATCGTTGATGGAAATTACAATATGTCAAATATCAGCCAAAACCTAAAGAAAGATACACTTAAAGTACATTAAATGCAAATGGAGCACTTACGAAGAAGATGTAAAAACACGATTATACCCTCTCTATAATATAATAGTAAAGGTGAATCCGTTCAATACGGCGGAATCTCCCAATGAAATAAATTCAATTGCCAAAGATTAATAGAATGTGGATGGCGGCAATTAAAATTCCATGCGTTTTCACCAACGTCTCGACTGTTTTTCCAGCGAAATACAATCAGCTAAAGCTTTCACAAACGAAAGAAAAAGACGAAGGCCGACAACCGATAACCACGGCGCGGCAAATTGCGTGGTTAAAATTACAACGATAGATTGAGTTATCTCCTCCAAGGTTACGACTGTTACGAGGATCTTTCAATAAGTATTGTAACGAAGAAAATAAACCGTTATAGAGTGCGAGGATTGCACGCTTTTTTTTCTAAGAGGGTCCGTTTTTTCATGTTCGGATGGCTTTAGTGGTCCGAACGCTAGTTCGAGGAGGGTCATGGCTTCGTCCAGGTGGAGAATGACCTTCCGTTGGTGGTCTTCGGGTCGATGAGAGTTCGAAGGAGCATTTCAATTGTGAATGCACTTGGTGGGTTTCCTTCGGGCATCTTTGATCTTGCTCTTGTTGGCGGCGTCTTGAAAAACACAGTCCCCCGTTGTGTGCCACTGTTATTGGGTTATGTATGGTACCGAAATTATACACTGGTGGGTAAACTAACTTTATTTACACACACGAATATCAAACTATATGACCTCGTACGGACGTGTGAGAGCTTTATGTGAGTGGTGTGTGCACAGGTGTAGGAAAGGGTCGTTACAAACTTTGTGTTTTACTATCACCAACATTACAATACCACAATTTACTATCCTACTAGTGTTTAAAGTATCGTAAATAGTTTCAACGCAAATTATTTGGTTATCGCATTACTTCCATTCCATTTTAAGCTTGTATTTCACGGCGCAATACCAGTTAGTAGTTAGGATGTGTTTCCCGTAGGCCGTAACAGATCGCATCCCTATTTTCCACCTTCCTTCTGGCATGCCCGGAGGAAACTTAGTACTATCAGGCACCCAATCCCTTAATGTATATTTCACCTACATCGATGGTTAAAAGAAGGGTGGGCGTGTCTAATTAGAACTTACCCCTTTAATGAGAGGCCATTCGAGGCGAGGTGTCGTGCAGGAATTCAGCATGCGATTTACATCAAAGTACTTGAAGCGAATTGCATCTTTGATTGTCAAGTTGAATTGGAGAATGTCCAGGCGATAACGATTACTCAGCCATTTGTAACCCGTTACCATTAGCTAAAAATTACTTAGTACAGCAAGTAGGGTAAGTCAATTCTTACGAGATCTCCTTCAGTTACATCAGTCTTCAACGTTGCCGTCAAAATAAACGTACGCGTTGTTCGGTTATACTTGTAGTTAGTGCAGGAAACATTCAAAAGGGTAGGATCGTAATATTCGACTTCCATACGTTCATGAAGAACATCGTACGCATTTTGCTTAAAGAAGTCTAGTTAGTGGTGATTTTAAAAGCAGTTTCCCATACAAACGCGTTCACTTGCGCGAGTAGTGCGAGTAGCAACAGCATTTTTATAATGATTCAATCACTGAACATCATGTGAAATAGTCTAATTCATTTTTGATTCGAATTTAATTGCCACGACAGTCGCTATCTGTAACAGATTAACCATTTATAAATCTGGTCATCTGTTTTGCTCTGCTCCCTCCTCTTTGTTACAAGGTCTAATAAAACAAGTTAAGGCAAAGATCATACTACACTAGATAGCCAGCGTATATGCAAGAGTTGTTTCGGGTTTAAGACTTTAAGTAGTTCCATAAAAATATTTATAGGGGGCTTTCAAAGTTAAGAACGTAACTGATTCATCCGAAGCCGTCTTCGTACGAGTTCGAATCATATCATAAATACAAAGAGTGATTATTGTCTAAACACAAGACACGACCTACTGAACACTCTTCACTATCATTATGGGATAAAATTACATTTGTACGTGGGCGTCATTCAAGACAAGGTAGATTCTATTACAGACAGGACGTTACAATGAAAGAAATAATTTGAAAGGTTGTACACAATATTCCTTTTGCTTTTTTTTAACCAGCGCTAACCAATACATTTTCCAGATTTTCGGATTAAATTAATAATTGCAAAAGCGTCTTTTTTCTTAGCATAATTTCTGAAAACGTTTAGTTTCACCATTGAATTTATAACTATTATAAATTCAATGGTTTCACGTATCTACGATACTTAAGATTTGTTGTAATTAAGCATTTTTTGATTGGGATAAACGAGATATCCCGCTTAGCCTCCTACATAATAAAATTGTATCCAGCTAAAGTGAGTCGGAACTAGAAGCGTCTGTGGTTAAAATTTCAAAGAAATATCTCCATAAATATGAAAGTTGGCATTGCGCAGTCTGCGCAAAATATGGAAAATATGAAACTGATCGAAATGGGCAAATATAGACCATAACGGCTATCAATTAGCGAAAACCCGAAGTCTCTAGGTGGCCCAAGGGCCGAGATCTCGATGGAACGGACGGACGGCCAGACAGAAACACGAGCACATAAGCTTTACCTCAACTTCGTTGTGTTACGATAAAAAATTTAATTTAAAACAAGATGTGAATATTCGGAATTTTAATGTACAGTAAGGTAACCAGATAAAACATCTATAACACCCACACAAGGTTGCGCTTAAGAATGACACCGATATCCCATACAATAGCCCTTTGTTCTAAAAATAACTGTGCTTTGCCATTTCGCGCGTCTTCTTACCCCGCCAGGTAGTTTGTACTATTCTCATAAAAACATAGCCGCTGGAGGACGCAGTCGACTTATGTGGCGGGACAAATTATGAGAGTCTAAAATTTATACAGCGCTGTCTATCTAGTGTAGTATGATCTTTGGTTAAGGCTGGGATTTCGTAAAAAGAGAAGTACCCATTGTAAAGGACAAAGTTTTTTTCGTTAGACTGTGCTGGTACCTAATAATGAATAGCGTAACTACAGCAGTTTTCTATACAAATATGTAAATCATTATACTCTCTTTAAGTGGGCCCCAAACAACACAGAGGGAGCTTTAAAAAAAATGCAATTTGATTTGCATAACCACACGACAAGAAGATACAAAACACAAACGCAAGGTCGTTCACGGCTCCTTACAGACTGCTAGGTTAACAAAATTATAATTAGCTCTCTACCGCACATAACTTGAGGAGAACAATGAACCGCTTGTAACGTAACGTATGAAGTAAAAATCCCGTAATTATTGGCATGGGGAACTTTCAAAATTAAGGTCGTAAAATTGGGCACCGACATTTCTAAAAAAACACCTTTGGAAATTCAATTCTTTTTCATTGTTACCGTTGAATAAAGAGGTTTTTATTCAATGTCATTACGAAGTGTGTTTGTTATACTTAGGTATAACGATCCTAGTGCCTATTTAAATAACAAGTAAGGAAGACTTTGTAACTAACGAAATGTTATTACAGTAGAGACGCGTTTTGACTTTTAGGACTTGGAAAAAGTTCAACCATATTTTCGTTTTTTTTTGTATTTTTCTTTGAAACGGTAGGGAAATTTCGAATTAGAACAAGCAAAAGCTTTTATGGATAATGCATTTTTGTCAAAAAGTATAGTAAAAGTTTTTCTTCTTGTAAAGTCAATCCGGGGACATACGGTATACCGATTTTTTTTTTTAATTTTTTAGCCGTTTATACCTAAATATACATTTGTTCCCCATGTCTTACATTCGAGGGATGGTCTTTTGTAAATTAGTAATATACAGGCTGATTCAAATTTGAGGGCCACCATGGGTATCTCGGGAACTGTAAGAGATACTGAGATAGGTAGATAGTAAATTTGGCCAAGTTGTGTATGTTGATGCTTAACAAAAACAGTTTTGAAACTGAAAATTCTGACTACTTTCGGAGATATCCGGAAAAAACAAAATTTTGAAAATCGTTTTTGTTTTTTACTGAAGTTATTGACAAAGATATTTAATAATAAATGACAAATTATTATGGCCACTTTTTTCCCTCTACCCTTTTTTTGCCTTTGTCTTAACGTACGTAAGTAGTTTAGTAGTTTAGTTTAGTGTTTACCTCTACCTATCTCTTACAGTTCCCGAGATCCCCATGGTTGCCTTCGAATTTGAATCACCCTGTATAGGTCAATTATTACACATTTGACATTACACTAAACTGACTAAACTAATACCATTGAATAATAAATATTCAATGCTAATACTAATATGTAATAGAGGTACTATCATTGAATAAAGAGCTTTATTCAATGGTACTATTGAAGTTCAAAAAATTTAATTTGCGACAAGGTATGGATTATAATTATAAATTACGGTATTTTAATCTGCAATAAGCAAAGATAAAGAATAAGGAAGACGGTCAAACAAATCTCATTACAAATAAACACCCACACAAGGTCGCAGCTTGACAGACATCAACAACAATATACAACAGCCCTTTGTTCTAAAAATAACGTAAAATTTTGATATTTGTTGTAAAGGAATGTTACCTATCCCTATTTCTATTATTTATTTTATAAAACGATAGGTAAAGGAGGTATCTTTTGCAATGAATAGGAAAGAGAAACCAAATAAATTTCGAAGCAAGTAGTTGACAAAATAAAAATATACCAGTGAACCATAATACTACAACTTAGTATCATGCCACTGAACTATCTTTTTCTTGCTGTCAGCGAATTCTACTATTACACGTACGCTCTGTTCAACCTTGAAAGAGAATCGCTAAATGATTTAACATAGGCAACTTACATAGCCTGCTAGTTTTTTTTTGCTCGTAAATTTTTGTCTTATTATCCCCATTACACTGTACTAGTACTAGCCTAGTTAAAAAGTAAGAACAACTCCATCGCAAGATAAAAGTGCTTACCTATTTCATATCTTTCTCGTATTTTTTACTGATTTCATAAAACTCTTGGTGGCACCCTCTGTGAGAAAGAAGCTACACTGTTGACCGCGATATTAGTCACAGCTGCGTAGTTTATTTCCATTTCTCCAGTTTACATGCCCATTTTTCAGAACTTCATTCACCACTTTTTTTATGAAAACTTTTGAGCTTCACATAAATTGCCAAAATATTGATAAGTATTCACGCTACCGATCCCATACACTCGTATTGCTTAAAATGCTCCCTAATTTTTGCAATTAATTCCTAAACTATGAACTCTTTTGACGCATGTTTTCTAGATTTTTTAAACATATATTAATATTATTAATAATACAGGCCATTTGTGCTCAAACGGGCATCTAGCGGGAAAGTTGTGGGCGTAGTTTTGATTTCTTTGATTCTATATGTTTTTTGGGATGCTGAATCCGAATCTGAGGTTTGCCAACAAAATTTCATGACGCAACATTGAAAAAAATACAAAAGAAGTTGAAAATAGTTATTTATATAACAAGAGCGCGAAGTTCAATTTCGCGCATTGAGACTGAAGGTATTTTGACGAGGCGAAGCCGAGTTAAAATATCAGTCAAATGCGCGAAATAACTTCGCGCTAGCGTTATACAGGGTGATTCCTATAGTACCTGCCACCGTTTGGGAGCGTGTAGGTGGTGCGTAGGGGAGTATTTTGATATAGGACACTTGGGGTCGGAAATCTAAAATAAGGGTGCCAGAGCCAAATTTACCTTCTGGAATTTCGCGCCTGTAGGTAGGCAACCCAACCGGCCGGCGGTGCACACGGAGCGATCTCAGGCGGCGATGTGTGGCTGACACTTGATCAGAATTTTGTTTAAACCCACGAAATCCCGTCTGCAACGACGCGTATCAAGTGAATAAACACTATGGCAATAGTATAATAATAGTTGGCTAGATGTTGAGAACAACGGTGGCCACGTTGAACACTTGTAAACGTTATTGCTTTTGACTGTCGTTTTCCCTCCTTCCCTCCCATGTCGCTTCCTCGCGCTAACTCGCTCTGCATCGCTCCGCGCGAAACGTCGGTCGGTTGGGTTGCCTACATACAGGCGTGAAATTCCAGAAGATAAATTTGGTTCTGGCGCCCTTATTTTAGATTTCCGACCCCAAGTGTCCTATATCAAAATACTCCCCTAGGCACCCCCTATACGCTCCCAAACGGTGGCAGGTACTATAGGAATCACCCTGTATACAATATTTTTTTTATTATACCTGAATCACAATCTCCGTTTTAAACACTCAAATGCGTGCGAAAAAGGGCCTTTAAAACACACGTGCTTTAAAGTTGCTAAGTAACGATACTTCAAGTATGACTTTTGAAACTGTCATCTGGATGAAATAAAAAATCCTCTTAGGTCGCTTTCTGTAAATGCAGAACATTTCTTTGGCTTTTGTACCTATCCTTTGGTTGAAGCTTTCACAAACGCGCGTAATTTAGGGTATGCTTCCAAATCTGTTCCACTTTTTAATCGCAGCATTGCTTTAAAGTTTTGAATGAATGCACCAAAATATAGAAGATTTAAATACCTTTGACATTTCCTTCATATATGCCAGCATTATGGATGCATTTAAGACTGTATTCGTAAGTAACTTCCTATTCATCCATGGAAACAACTTTTCATATTCTTTATAATAGGCTTTACTGAAGTTGGATTTTACACCTTTGTTTAGATTTTACAACAATCGATTTAATGGACGGTGTATTATCTTTTTCAACGGAAATCGTTTAAT